ACCCTCAAACTCGCTGGAAGCGAGGGGGGGACTCTGGGGTCACATCCATCGGACCCGCGCGCCCCCAGGGGTTTCCCAGGGTCCCGAGCGTTTACTATAAGAGGACTCGCGCTCAGGTAATCCCAGGCAGGGTACTGCTAACCGGCACCCAAAGCTACCAAACAACTTTCTAAGAGCTGAACCCCCGGGACGTGTACACTCACGGGGACCTAGCAGGGGGTACCACCAGAAAATACTCAGAACACAAGGGACACAAGGGGCAAGAACGAAGGCAGACCCCCCCCCACCAGGTAGATAAACAAAAAGAAAAAGAAAACCCCGCAAGAGGACAGCGTACCCAAGCGGAACAGAGCCGGCCGCTATGATTGGTAAAGACAAGCTGCACAGTACCCTGCGCCCCACCAGTGCAAAAACTGCCCCTTACTCTAAGGCGAACAAGGGAGACAGAACACCCGAGCACACAAAGAGCGGCCGAAAACCAAGCAGTAAACGGCCAAGCAGGGGCAGGACCCAAGGAACTTGTGGAAGGTGGCCCCAAGCCCCAAGGGCAGTACTTACAGGGCACCTAGGGAAGGGAACCCTAGGCGCATGCAGCCCGAGTACTGGAGAATCACTCCCGGCTCACGCACCACCTAGAAAACAGACACCACACTCTAGGTACAGTGCTGAAACAACCACTGGAGCCGGAGCACATAACCGTTGCCTATAGCATCAGCCGAAGAACTGATGGGTGGATAGCCGGCGTGGGAGGTCTGGGGCTCCCCCTTCCCCCTCCCGGGGAGGGGGGAGCTGCGCAGACAGCGGCGCGGTGACGTATGACGTCATACTAGTTTCCTTGTTTTCTGTTGAAGAGTTCTATCCACTAGTTCGGCTTTAGGTAGCAATTTTCACCAGAATAGGGGTTTGTTTTGGAATGCTTACCTTTCTGGATGCTTGACCCGGTCGATGGCAGACATAGAATGCTTCCAACCACACGGGGGTTTCTATAGGCCATTGCTCCCCTTGCCTCTCTGAGGGGGCCAGGTTCTGGCCGTGGTCCCCGGTAGGCCCTAGAACTCCATACACATGACTGATGCCAAAGTCTGACATTAGCATATCAGCCGGTAAAGCTCCGGGGAGCCGACGGGGCTCCCCCCAGAAAAAAGTATGGTGCGCACACTGGTGATTCAATTTAGTGGGCCAGCCAGCGGCTTAGGGCCTGCACTGGAATTCCCCCCCCCCCAACCCCCACCCAAAAAAAAAGATTTAATATTTATTTTCATAAAACAATGTAAGAATATTTTTGTTGTTATTACACTAGATGTTATATATAAGTACACATGTGTTATATATATATGTACACATGTTATATATAAGTGTCTGCATGTTTTGTTGCAGATACACCATAACGAACCATTAAGCTGGTATGGTGCATCGTAACAGCATAGTGGCTACCAACACACCAGTCAGCTGAGTTACCTACCTACTTCACCAAAATTCCTGATCACACCATACAGTTTTTGCTGTTATTACACTATATACAAACATTATATATGAGTATCTACATGTTTTGTTCACCATAACTGCACAACTAAGCTGGTACAGTGTCCATACAGCATAGTGGCCACCATACACTGCATGACACAAGTCACACATAAAATAGCTGTCAACACTACCTCTCTCACTAACACGTTTCTGCCAGCATACTGATTATGCTGTTATTACACTATACACACACATTATATATAAGTACAGTACAATTCAAAGTACCCCGATTCAATGAATCTCCGGCTAGTCGCACACTTTTTAGGCCGGATTTACTAACCCGGTTCAATGAACAATGGTTCGCCGAAGCGGGGGATGTTCGGATTTGCTTACGATGTCGAGACAGAGTTCACAGATTGCTCGAAAACTTTCCCATTCTATCGCAGATTACAATTAATAATGCCCTCATATGAAAAGTTCGATCACACAAGTAGACCGCACAAGTGGTCCACAAGAGGTCCGCAATCTTGCAATGTTGAGACAGAGTTCATATAGTGATGGAAAACTTTCCCATTCCTTCACAGGTTACAATTAATAATTCTTTCACATGACAAGTTGGATCACACAAGTGGACTACACAAATGGACTACACATGTGGACCACACATGTGGGCCACACAAGTGGACCACTAGTGGTCTACAAGCTTATTATGTTGGGTCAAGGTTCACAGAGTGGTGGAAATCTGTCTCATTCTATCACAGATTACAATTAATAATTCCTTCATAGGACAAGTTGGATCACACAAGTGGACCACACAACAAGTGAACCATATGAATCAAACACCAGCCAGAATGGTCCACACAAGTGAACGACTGAGTTTCAATGATTTTCGTTCAATGATTTGTGGCACACGTATCTTTGTAAACTAATTTAAGGCTGAAGCGTGAATAGCTAGCTAATGTGTTGAAATCTTCTTATGTACATTTTCTGTGATGAAACAAGATGAGTGAGGATGGACAGATAAGGGAATACTGTACAGTAAACCTCAGTTTACTGTGAGGTTTCACTCACTTTCGTCTGTGTCGTCATAATTTAGTGATCCATGACTTTGAACGTTTCAGATTAATAAATCATTTCTAAAACTGGTGTTTTAATAACTCTTTATTACCCTAATTAAACTAAACTAAATAAAACCAAAAATATACTGTAATATAATAGATATCTGCTATTTGAAAAATTATTCATGTTATTGGCGGCACAACTCCAGTGCGAGTGGACGGGTCTAATCCGTGTGCACACAACACCATGATTGTTTTGTTCGATTTCGTCGCCATAGTTTAGTGACCTACGGCTTCGAAATAATAAAATTAATAAATCAGATCTAAAATAAGTATTTTTTATAGCTCTTATCATCGTAATAATATTGCTAAACTAAATATATAACCCAAAAATATATAATTTGAAGTAAATCCAATCTGTGAGAGATATTTATGTTACTGGTTCTGGCTTAAACACCAGCCTACTGTAGGGTGTATAGACCTAGTCTGCGTTCGTACAGTAGGCACCCAGTGCCCTTAGCTTTGTCTGCGATTGGCGTATTTATCCATCGGTGGAAGAATAATCGTGGAAGTTACCATTATTTTACTACAGCTGTATTGTTATACAACAAAATGTCTCAGGGGCTTACTAATAGTGCCTGATTAATGCCAAAAATGAAGCAATATTTTGCAAGAACTTGTAGCAGAAAATCAACCAGCACGAGCACAGCCGTACCCAGCACGAGCACAGCCATATCCAGCACGAGCACAGCCGTACCCAGCACGAGCACAGCCGTACCCAGCACGAGCACAGCCGTACCCAGCACGAGCACAGCCGTACCCAGCACGAGCACAGCCGTACCCAGCACGAGCACAGCCGTACCCAGCACGAGCACAGCCGTACCCAGCACGAGCACAGCCGTACCTAGCATGAGCACAGCCGTACCCAGCACAAGCATAGTCGTACCCAGCACAAGCACAGTTGTACCCCAGCACGAGCACAGCCGTACCCTGCACGAGCACAGCCGTACCCTGCACGAGGACAGCCCTACCCAGCACAAGCACAGCTGTACCCCAGCACGAGCACAGCCATACCCAACACAAGCACAGCTGTACCCCAGCACAAGCACAGCCGTACCCAATACAAGCACAGCTGTACCCCAGCATGAGTACAGCCGTACCCAGCAAGAGCACAGCCACCCGGAATGGTACCCACGATCTTAAAATAACTTTTCATATTTCTTTACAAAATAAACTTGTGGAAAATTATTCATTTACTGGATTTCGTGACCAGGATTCTGATATTAGCAGTATTGTGGTGAGAATTTGCGATGTGTGTGTAGAATGGTGGGGGAAGTAATCTTGGTGATGGGTGAAGCGATGCTGTGGTCACAAGCTGAACAGCAGTGCTGTGAGCTCATGCTGCGTGCACCAGCCTTGGTTGCTCACTCAGTACTGTACTGAGGCCTTCACACCCGGAATGGTGCCCATGATTTTTTTTTAATGGTGTCTGTTTACTGGAGCCCTGAGGAAGGTGATGTGAACCCCAGAGAGCCATGGGACTTTTAAGTTATGCAGTACAGTACTTTTAATTAAGTACTGTACTTCCACTAATGAGCGGGAGTACTGGTTTGCGTGCAGAGTTGCTAGTTTCTCTTCATTTATTTTCTTTCTGGAGGAGTTCTTTGCTCTTTCGGGCTGTAGGTCACAATTTTACCGGCTAGCTGTTTGTTTTGGTTCACCTATCTTTCTGGGTTACTATGCCAGTCTACGGCAGAATATGACATACTCTAAATGTAAAGTGCTCATACTCCATTGCTCCCTGCGCCTCTCTGAGGGGACCAGGTTCTGGCTCTGGTTCCCGGTAGGCTTAGAACTCCACGTGACTGATGACCCCAAGCTAATAAAGCACATATCAGTTCAGTTAGCTTCAGGGAGTCGACAGGCCTACCCTCCAGAAAAACCAGAGTTGAATGTAATGAAACGTCAGTTTCTGGGTGAGCCCCAGAGGCTCCGTGAAGGTATCATCAATGATTAAGTGCCATATTACATGAACATACTGCATGACAATCAACTTTAAAATGGTCCAGGACGGATCGAAACGTCGTCGTCCCTTCACCTTCTAGTGTGTGGTCTGGTCAACAAGTGCCATAGTACCTAGTGCCATCAGCTGCAGAGTTCTTTTTGCCTACTGGAGACCACCAGCCAAAATCTGGCCCCCCCTCAGAGGTGCAGGGAGTGATGGCCTATGCTCACGTTATATTTAAATGATATCTAGGCAACAACAAGGAAGGCACCCAGAAAGATAGGAATCAAAACAAATCACTGCTTGGTTTAAAAATGAGGCCAAAACCCAAAATTGCCAACCCAAAATACGCAAACCCGGGTAGAAAAATGCCCGGGTTTGGACATCGAGCAAACAGCGCCTGAAACCAAGGCTGGACCGACCAAGGAACCAGAAGAATCACCCTCCCACTGTAAGATTATACATGCCAGTACCTGGAGCATAATGGAGCAGCTAAAAAAAAAAAAAAAAAAAAAAAGGTAAATGCAGCCCCATCTCAACCAGTCCAGTGAAATGGTATCCACCGCAAGAGCCTCACAGTCGGAGAATGGCGCTGCATGAAGAGGCAGACGCCAAGACTACACTGTCGCAGAGGTCGACGTTAAAACACCCAAACGTCCATAAAAGCCAAAGAAAGGAATCAGTGAGCACGGCACCTCACAGTCAAAGAAAAAGCTGGGGATGATGCAACAGCACCAGTTGCCGGCATCACAGAGGACCCACCTCGACCAACAGCAGGTGAAACCCTCGCTTGATCCCCTGCTGGAAGACTGACAAAACCAACCCCCACTGGACACAACCAGAGACCGGACGGTAATTCACCAAAGCCGAGCAATCCAAAAACCCAAAATTGAGCAACCAATTCTTCAGGAAAAAGCAGAGGACAAAAAGGAGCAGTGGAAAGAAGAGCCAGGGCCCACACCTAATCCAAAGCATGAGCCAACACAGCCTGCCTACATGCGAGGTGAAAAAACAAGAAACTGCCTCCTGGAGGATTGGAGCACACATCTTAAACAAGGCAGATGAAGCTGAAGCTGCCACAACAAAAACCCAAACAAGAGGCACTTCACCGAGTGACCACACATTCTCCGCAAACCAATCAGAAGACAGTTTGTGGAAACACAAGAACCACACGACAGAAGCCAAGTGAGAACGAGTCCAAAAATCATCAGCGACCAAAACTGCTGAAAGAATAGGAACTTGAGTGTGCAGCTACACCAGACCAACATCACTGAAAAGGGCAGAAGTGATTAGGCAAGAATTGAGGTATACAAGAGAGCCCCCCAGAAAATGTGCATCACTAGATACACCTCCCACCACTCAAGAGCACAGGTACAACAAAAGCCTCGCCAAGCTCCCAGCAAAAACATAGGACAATCTGCTAGCCAGGACGGCTCTGGAACCTTGTAATGCACCGAACTCAAGAGAGGCAACTCCTCGAAAATGGCGACTGAAAATGGCAACCCACGGATCTGCCGAAGCCACAACCCAAGCTAAATGCTGCCACGACTTTGAAACTCTCTGATGCTTTCAGAGAAGGATGCAGGGGGGGGGGGGAAGGAGATGGGTAAACCAAACCAATCGGGTAGGGAAGAGGTGGTGTGGACGGAACTAAGGTCGAGTTAACCAACACCTCCAATTTCAAGTCCCTACAACACAAACAGGGCAGATCCGGGGCAACCAATTGGGCACAACGTAGAGTGTTCCAGGACCAAAAACCAGTGATGCAAAGAACGCGCTCCGTGAAACTTCTGGGTTTCCACAGAAGAATGGGTAATCGTGAACACATGAAGGGAACAAGTTCCACATGACTCTGGGTCATAGGTGTCACTGACCCAACAAGCAGCATGATGGAGACAGAAAGAATGAACGTCCCTGAATGGCACCAGTCACGAACAACCCTGAAATTCCCACAAGGTGCCTTCTGCAGATTATTATGTTCATATGAGTGTTGTATTGGAAATTCCAAAATCAGATGATGAATTCTAGTGTCATCACAGCAATTATGGGTAAGAGTAAAATGCATCATCAAACCACTCAAGTGGCAACTAAGAGAATTATTCTGTGCAATCATATATAAATGTTAAAGCTTCATGACAATAAAGGGGTTCTCAAGATGTTGCATGAAAATAAACACAACTTTCACAAAACTCTAAGCTATTACTACATGGAATATGTAATGAGTGTAGAACATCTAGTAATAGTAGTCATAGGGGGGCACCTTGTGGTGGTGTAATAAGCACTCTTGTCTTACAAGCAAGATAACCTAGAATCAAATGAGAAAATTGAATGACTGGGCATTTACTGTTCCTTTGCTCAGTTTGGTTCTGTGCACCAAGCAGTAGCTAGAAACCTGAATGTACATATAACAATTGGCAGATTGTGCTGTTTGGAAAACTATGATAAAATATCATTCATGAATGCCACAAGTAAAATGGGTAATAGAATCAATTCCTTCTTCAGTGACAAACTGTTTGTCATTAATTACATGTTATTTTACAATGTTTTATGTTAATAAGAATTTTAAGGGACACTGACAATTTTTTTCATTGTCCAGTGATAAATTTTTCAACGATTATATCATTCCTTCATGTAAGCATGAGCCGAATATGTCTCCTCCTATCAGTAAAATTCACAAACCCAAACATTTTGCAACATTTTACAAACTAGTGACACAGTTAATCTGATTTAAAAACAAATCCAGAGGACCAACACAAAAGTGATTAATTCTTAGAATTACAAATTTCATTCTTCGACAGTTAAGACCAACCTACTTACTGTTATATTGTTTCCTCTGTCTATACGTCTTCATTACCCCACAGAGGTAAGCTGATTTATTAGATACATGTTCTAGGTTGGATTCCAAGAATTGTTTGAGTACTGTAACTGCACCTTCAACTGGAAATTCTTTTAATGCATCTAATGCCCGCTCATCCAAATCCTGTAATAAAATTGCACCATTAAATAAAAATGTAAAGTTACTGTACACACTTTTAATACCAAGAATTTAAGGAGGAAAGACTGTAAAATATTTTAAATTCAACCTTGAAAGACTATCAGAAGTACTTACCCTTATACTGTACTTAAAATCAGAGACTGTCGAGTATTGCTCTGCTACTTACAACAATACAATATCAGGTGCCAGTAATGGTTTTGTTAAAAAAAATGGAAGCAAGGATCCAACCTACCTTCCTTTCTAGGCTTCACCAATCCCCCTTACTCATCCCCAGAAATGGCTAGAGAAGAACTGTTTCTCTGTGTCAGTTGATTCATCCTGAGTCTGCTTTGTCTCCTTGTGTTATGAGCTTGTGCTTCAGTGAACACTTTACGTGTGTGTATGTATTTAGCATCCTTGCATGTCATTCAAGCACCATCAAACTGATCTGGGTTAAGTGCCTTACTCTATGACACATCGGTAATACATTAAGCAGCAGTTTTTCCTCTTAACTCTTTCATTCCTTAGGGACAGAGATGACGTCCACAAATAACTCTGCGGATGTTCCTTAGGGACATAAGTGACGTCGAAAATTAAAATATTTGTAAAAATTAAAGTTTTTCTACGATCTTTATGAGGGATTGGTTTTAAAATGTGCACCAATGTCTTCCCATTTTATAGCAAACTGAGGTGAAAATTGAAGTGAGAAACTTGAAAAGAGTAAATACATTTGTGAGCGGGTGTGCCAATGGGCGCTCGCTCACGGGTAATGCTTGGCCGACTTTCGGTGTTGCTGTGGGTTTGGGACCTTATATACATATACCCCTGTAGGGAATTCGATTGCGAACAAATTGATACCAAAATGAAAGACGTAGCACAAGAATTGAAGTGACAAAAGTGAAAAAAGTATACACATTTTATTGCTCTTGCGTGCTGACGGGTAACAGTGGGCCAATTTTGGGGTTTGGAGTGGGTGGAACACCGGGCCTTTGGACCTTATATACATAAACTCCTGTAGGGAATTCTATTGCAAACATTTTGATACCAAAATGAATGATTTACAACGAAAATTGAGGTGATAAAACTGAAAAGAGTATACACTTTTCAGTGTTGCCGCGCGCTCACGAGAAACACCCGGGCCACCTTGGGGTAGTCTGGCGTACATAAGCCCAGAATGCGAAAGTGTTAAGTGCCCCCATCTGCTCTTGAGCTTAGGTTCTATCAATCACTGCATCATTTGTGTGAGATTTATTCTACCACTTGGGCCATGCTTATAAATGGTGACTTTTTCCTTAACTGTTAATTTTTATTTAGTACTATAGCAATACAGTAGTGGCCTTCTCCTTTCCTTCTCAGTGATCAATAAGATTTGGTTAGGGTTTTCTAAGAGAACCAGTCTTGCAACTAGATGTCCTTTCCACAGGATGGATTATGCTGGAACCATACTAGGTTCTTGCCTAATTTATTCTCTTGATCACTGCAGACATGGATCTCTGCTCAGAAGTCTGAATCTGGCTGAAACTTAATTTGATGAGGTATCATAAAGAATTTCTCAATAATATCTTCATTTTTTGTGGCTGCAGCCTTAAGACTAGCGGATCTTCTCCATGGATAACATTTATCATATACTAACAAAAGATGTGACTAGCTTCAGATTCTGAAAAGTCAGGTCACAGGTGGAAGACTTGTTGCTCCCAAATAAGAGGGGATGGGGGTTTTGCCAGTTTTTAGAGCAAAGAGTTTACCACTCTCGCTTGTTCCTTGTTTGTTCCTTAGTAAGCATAGACCTGTAGACATCTCTTTTCCTGCATCCTGGAGTCCTCTTCAGAAAGTCTCGTTCCTTGTATCAGTATGGTGGAAAAATATTGAGGGAATATGTATTCTGGTAAGAAAACTGCCTGGCTCTAACCATTACAATCTGGTGCCCTGATATCACACATCTGATGTGCAGACTGCTTTCTGCTTCTATTCCTCCAATGTTTATGTCTCCAATGATGGTAACATCTAGTCTATAACCTGGTGACCTTCCATAACCTTATGTCCCAGGACTGTAACTGCAAGTGTGTGTATGGGGTCATATTGGCAAGGAAAGAGGACCTAAGTCTTGCTTGCCACAACCAGGGGCTCAGTACGGCTTCTATCAACTTGACACATATTCAGCGACACTTCACTCTTGCTCTTTTGTCTTGAGCCACAAGTTCACATTTCTGATGTTTGAAGATGTCAAACAGTTGACAAGGTCACCATTGATTTCTGATAACTGTACAGTTTGTCAAAGAAAAGGCTCATTACTACTAATGAAGTCACTGGCTCCAATACATGTGATGACATGATATCACTTGAAATCAAATAATCCCTGGAATCAAGATTTATTTTCTGCCCATTAACATCACTTGAGGGCAGCAGTTGACCTCAACCAACTTGCTGCTACTCAAGAAAATATGGTTTGTTAACAATGACTCCTGGAATTGTGTCAACAGAATGATGATGGTACGTACTCGCACCTTTTAAATGCCAGATATAAGTCTAATGAGACTGCAGACACATAATATCTCCTATTCACTTGCAACTGCAAGAAAATTGCACAGCTACATCATAGTTACAACTATCCCACAGCTGACTTCATGTTGCACCTTAAGAGAGATCACAACCAAGAAATATGAGGTACCATTTTCCATCTTGGAATTCATTTGCTAGTTAGCTGACTACACCCATGGTTGAAACATGCATAGTTACACCAGAATTGTCCTCAAAAGAGGCTGGATCCATAATCGAGGCATAAACCGGGTCACGCAGGAGGTAAACCACCAAGAACCTTGTGAGCCTCCACAGGTAGAACACCGAGCAAGAAAACCTCCGGAATGTTGAATCCTGGATGCTCAAACTGCTAGACTGGGGGCTAAAAGTACAGGAACTCCCACCTCAACCAGTCCTGCTGGAAAACGTCTACCGCAAAAGCTTCACAGTCGGGAAACAGCACCATGTATGTTGGGAGACACCGAGACGACACCGACGCAAAGAGCTCTACAGTTGCCTGTACTGACCTCTGGATGTCAGTACAGCCAACAAAGTCAAATGAAGGAGGCGGCATTGACCGTCCTCTCCGTGGAAAGGGGAATGAAGTGCAACAGGTCATCTGTTAGGATGTTGGACACTCCCCAAATAGAAATGACACAGAGAGCTAAACCCCGAGAACTCAGCAGAAGAGCTACCAGAAGCAACCAGTCCCAAAGAGCCACGGACCGCAGAGACCCTCCTCCCCCCGGCTCAGACAATGAACCACAGGGGTGCAATCCGAATGAAACCATATCAGAATGCTTCGAGGAAGCCGAATCTGCTGCAACGCCAGCCACACAGCCGCAAACTCCCGCACCTTGCTGTGAGCCCGAAGGAAGGATGGAACCCAACGACACTGGCTGGCCTGGTGAGCGCTGGTCACAAAGCCCCAGCCAAAAGATGAGGCATCCGTGAGCCATCGAGAGCGGCAAAGGGAAGGCTCCACGGCACCAAACCCCAAAAACCCAAAAAGGAAGCCGGTGACTCACCAACCAACAGAAAGACGCCAGGGTGCGACCCCAGCAGTCGCGAGAGAGTTGAAATGGGATGCCCCAAAGATACCTGAACAGCCTCCGAAGCTAAAGCTTGCCCAGCAGGTAAACCAGCATGGCAAAGTCCAGGCTCACAAACAACTGCCTGAGCAACCACTGAGTGACCCAGGTCCCCCCAAAACAGCTGAAGGCAGGACTGTAACCAGACCAATGTCGTAGAAGGAAGAGAGATGGACACAATCCGCGAATCCCACACAAGGCCCAGCCAAGTTCGAACCTGAGAAGGAACCAACCGGAACTTCCGCCTATTCACCAGGAACCCGAACCTGGCAATCTAGGAAAGAACCAGATCCTTGGCTAACAGACACCCCGCCCAGCTTGGAGCCTACACCAACCAGCCTACAAAGGAGGCTGCCAGCCAGGAAGGCACCGGAACCTCGAACGGCACCATATCAGGGGAAAAGGAACTGAACCTAAACAAAACTGGAACCCACATAGAGGCAAAACCGGGTCTCATGGGAGGCATGTGCCACAGGCCTCCCAAACCCCCCAAGGAAAATTCAAGAGGAAGAAAACATCTGAAAAGATAAATCCGAGGAACCAATAGAGTACCCAGAAACGAACCCAGGGGGAAGTACATTTGCCAGCGGAAAAGACGCATCACGGGAACAAAGGTTCATTAGTTGTCCATAATGAATAATGTTACAATTTTTTGTTGTCATAACCCTGATAAATAGAGCTCCACCGCTAAAACGGCTAGAAAACAGACAGGATATCGAAGGCCAGATGCTTGGGAGCTGGACGAGCAAACAGGGCATGTACATTGGGCACAAAACCGGAGCCGAGAAGAAAAGAAAGAAAACAACCCAACGACCACAGTCTGTAAGCAGAAGACCAGGAGACTTGATCACCCAAAAGTCCCCAGGGGAACATACAGGATAGGACACCTTGAACATGAAGAAACAAGACAAAATGGCATGCAGCAGCTGGAGCGTAACCATGTAAAGTATGAGGGTGTGTAATTCACGCCGGCAAATACTGTATGGTAAACCAAATAAGAAGGGAAAGAAAGACAAAAAAACCCTACCCCACCTCTTTACCACAGCCCAGAAAGCACAAAGGTCCAAGCTGGGGCAACTAGCAGACCCCCCCCCCCCATGAGCCCCGGGAACCACCGACAGAGGCCCTGGGGCAGAGCCCATATCCACACCCACCACCCCCTGAAGAAAATGCGGAGTCCAGGGAAGAAAGGGTGTAAGTTAGATCGACCCAAAAGCTTCGGTGGAAAAATCGGGCTCAACCACCCCCACGCACGAATAGGAAAGGGCACTCCCAAAATCCACCCGAGCATCATCCCAAGCACAAACCTCACCCTGGCACCCAAACCCTCAGACGTTCGGGAGCTGGAAGCAGGGAGGGGATGGGGAGGAGCAAGGCAAACCACACCCACCAGGGAAGGAAGTAAGGGTGTGGACAGAACCACGTAAGAAGTAACCAATGCCTGAAATCCAGGTTCCCACAAAAATGCCACAAAAATGCCTTTTTCCCACAAAAGCGACAAAGCCTTCCAACGGGAGTGAGACCTGAAAGTCCCAGGGAAGATAACCCTGACATGCAAGGGAGGTACTTACCGGGCACCTAGGGAAGTTAGCCCTAGGCACATGAAGCCCAGCGTACAGAGAACACCTGGCCAACACACCACACAAAGCTGGCAAAGCCACAAATGCAAAAGTCAGTCAATAAAGCAAGGCCAGAGGAGACGTGTTGACACCAGGCACATCAGTCAACGAACTGTTGGGGTGAGCAGTCGGCTCACCTGGGTGGGTTTCCCCTCTCCTTTTTGGGGAAGCGGGGACGTGCTAGTTGGATATCGATTGCTTATTTGTTTATTTCCTTTGGGGGAGTTCTTTGGCTCTAATCGGACGAAGGTTGTAATTTTCACCAGTGGGGGGTTTGTATTGTTTTGCCTATCTTTCTGGGTGCTTTCCCTTTTCAATGGCAGACATGACATACACTAAATGTAGAGCGCTCATATGGCCATTGCTCTCTGCGCCTCTCTGAGGGGGCCAGGTTCTGGCTCATGGTCCCCGGTCCTAGAATTCCTGGGACTGATGACACCAAACTAATATGGCACATGTCAGTTTGGATAGCTTCAAGGAGCCTCCAGTGCTCCCCACAGAAAGAGGTGATATGATTACCACTTGAAAATAATAACAGGAATCAACCAAATTAACAAGAGGAATTCCTGAAACCAGCAACGTCAAGAACACGAGGAGACAGATTCAAGCTAAGGAAACAAAGGGGTTGAAAAAATATTAGAAAGTTTTATTTTGCAGTGGTAGACAGTTGGAACAAGTTAAGAGAGAAGGTGGCAGAGATTAAAACTACAGTATCAGTAATTTCAAAGCGTTATACGACAAAGAGTACTGGAAAGACAAGACCATCACGAGTGTACCTCTCATCCCGTAACTACACTCAGGTAATTACTAAACCAAAAATATCCAAGTATCAAAAGACATTATATAAACCAGTTAAATATTCTGATTAAGTGTAATAAAGTAATTTGTCACGTTATGAAATGTGCTCTGCTCTAATTGGCCTTTAAGTCTAAAAATAATGCCACGTTCACAAAAAACAAAATAAGATATCAAACTTTCAATGCCATGCAACAAAAACAGTGTAATCATTGTTCATCTTGAAATCAACTTTGCAAGATACAAAAATAGTGTAGTAAGTAAACTGCAAGCAAACCAGTGTGCTAACAATATACATTATGCTCTACCAACTTTAACCAAACAAATATTCACCATTTACTTTGTAATAAACTATTCAGCAAAACACTGCTGGTATTTAAGGATGCTATTAAATACAGTCTCCATAATTAAAAAATAACATAATAAAGTATTACCCATCACATATAGTGACCTGAAACTCTAACTGACACACAAACCTACAACACAAATTTTGTACTCTTCCTTTTACTAACGCATTAAGAGCCAAAAACTCTGGAAAGGTCCTACAATAGTATAGTAGCAGCAAAAATGTCAACTTAAATATACATATCATATTCTTGAAATTTCAATCAATTCTATGTGCACAAACCCTGTTTACGTTTTAAAATGGAATGACAAGATTAAATGTTCAAGTTTAAACCACTCACTTCGTGTCTCAGTTTGCCCTGTTTGTAGATTTCATCTAGTTTTGCTGCAACTTTCTCATTAAGTCCATAATTTATCAATTTCTGGTAATCTTCTGTTCGTTCGCCATCTATTTGTGACCCCGGGTCACCACCACCGTTACCTTCTGCCATCACTCCCCTGTAAGAAATCAAAATGAAAATAAATTTAACTGACCACTAGGTAATAACATCCTGCCTATCCCTTTCTTTACTGTTGTTGTAAATACAAGTCACCACGATAAACCTTTTACATACAGTATTTTAATCATATCTACTATTTTTGCCGCCAGTAATTCGTTCATAAAGAAACAACCATCGGTGAATGTAATGAAACTCCATTTTCTGGGTGAGACTCAAATTGAAAAACCTAGACTTTCTAGGACAAGAAAGGCATTCTAGGACAAGAATTGAGGTGACTAAGTTGAAAAGAGTATACACTTTTCAGAATTACCGCGCGCTCCCGTGGAATGCCCGGACCCACCTGGGGTAGCGTGACGCTCGCTCGCCCAGAGCACGAAAGTGTTAATCATATCTAGTATTTCCACCGCGAGTAATTCGTTCATAAAGAAACAACCAGCGATAAATGTAATAAAACTCCATTTTATGGGTGAGACCCAGAGGCTCCTTGGAGCTATACCGGGCTGATGTTTATATATTAGACTGTGGCAACAGTCAATCGATGGAGTTCTACCAAGGACCAGCACCAGACCCTGGCCACCTCAGAGAGGCATGAGGAGCAATGGCCTATAGACACCCCCCATGTAGTTGGAAGCAGTCTATATCTGCCATCTACCAGGTCAGGCACCCAGAAAGGTAGGAATACCAAAAATAAACTAAGGGGATGGTGAAAAATTGTTAACCGAAAGCTGAACGAGCAAACAGAACTCCCCCAATCAGAAAACAAGCAAACAAGCATGATGTCACCACAAACGCTGAGCCGCTGTCTGCGCAACTCCCCCCCCCCCCTCCCTGGCAGGTGGAAGGGGGGGGTAAGGGGGTCCCAGACATCCCATGCCGGCTACCCAACCCCAGTTCAGATGCTGAATATCAAAAATGCGAAAAAAATGCCAACCAGAGGGAGGGAGGGATGCCTCCGGGTCTCACTCAGAATATGGCATTTCATTACATTCAATGCTGGTTTTCTGAGAGCCCCTTTGGCTCCCTGGAGCTGCCTAACCAAAGATAAAGGAAAAGAGAGAGACTTACCCGAGAGGTAAGTTACCCACTCACGCCTCAACTCAAAAGTCGAGACAACTGGCTGCAACCTGCAACCCAAGGCTACACAAGCCCGAGAAGCGCCAGGAACATAAACGAGGTACCATGCGGCCAGGACCATGTTCGACCTACAAAAGCCACATGCCCGAATGTCAGTTCAGAACATAATACCAAAAACAGCAGCCAAAGCCGCGAACTTAAGAACGTCCTGGGCACTGGGATAAACTGCAGGCTGGCTGGACTGAATAATCCTACGGACGACCTGGGAGACCCGCACCCTGGAACAGGGAAGAAGGGAAACCGGGTCAACCCAAAGTGCGTCCCCTACCATGGAGGCTGTGGTGTGCAAGTAACGACAAAGAGCCGCAACCTGAAACAAAACACGATGCACCCACGGCCAAACCAAACATGCATCAAATACCTCAAGGACCCCTCCGGAAAGCAGCAGTCTCATTCATCGCCTGAAAAGGAGACAGCTGCAAACAAACAAAATGACCACCAGGACTAAAAGAGCAGAAATCCCTGCGCCGAAGGAGAGCATGAAGCTCCCTGACCCGACCCCCAGAGACCAATGCCAACAAGAAAAAAAGCCTTCCGCACGATTCTAGGCGACAGTATTCGGCATAAGATGACAGTCCTGAAACAACCAAGAGAGAAAAGGGAAAAGACCCAAACAGAAATCGAAGACAACCTACAACGAGTCAAAAAGGACCGCCAGGAAACTTCATACTGCCGCCAAGTTGAAACTTGCAGGTGGGACACCATCAACAAAGACGAGCGCCCAAACGTCCAGAAGAGCCAACGGAATGAGTCGGCGTCAACTGTCCATTCCGTGGACCGAGGAATGAACCGGGACAGGCCGTTCGCCAGGACGTTGGACACCCCCTTGGATGTGAACCCCGAGAACTCAGCAGACGAATCGCCCGAAGAGACCTGCCCCAAAGAGCCAACGGTGCAGGTGATGAACCACCGGGAAGCAGTCCGAATGGAGCCGAATCGTTGCTCCACGAGCGACACAAACCCTCCGAAGCAAAAAAAAAGTTTGCAGTGGTCCACCACTGCGAACTCCTGTACTGTGCTGTGAGCCCGACTTAAGGACGGATCCCACCGACCCTGTCTGGCTTGGTGAGCACTGGTCACAAAGCCCCAGCTGAGAGATGACGCATCCGTGAACACATCGAGCGAGGGCTCGGGTAGGCGCCACAGCACTGAACCCTGAAAAACCCGAAGAGGAAGCCAGCGACGCAGCAACTGATGGGATAACAGAATACACCACCTGCCTTCCCTGACAACTTCCACCACTGACACCATCTGCTTCCCCTGACAACACCTTCCACCCCTGACACCACCTGCCTTCCCTGACAGCAGTTTCCACCACTAACACCACCAGTCGTTTCTGACCGCAACTTCCACCCACCAGTCTTTTCTGACAACCATCACTGACACCACTAGTCTTTTCTGACAACAACTTCAAACACTAACTCCACCTACCTCCAATAAGAATAACTTCCACCACCTGCCTCCTGACTCTAAACCCCAACTACTGACACCACTTGCCCCGACTCCAATTCTCACCAATGACACCACCTGCCTCCCCTGACACCATTTTAACATCCTTCAACCATTTCTCGCTGGAAACAATGAGTAAGCAAAATAAAACACTGTAAAACTGTTTACACTTTGGTGAATCATAGTTGATGACAGCCACCTCCAACACTTGGTCTCAAGTGACCACTTGGACGAACAATCCTTGCTTAATCGAAGATTGGTATTTTCCACTGAACATTTAGTACCGAACTCAATTTGTTCGGATCATCCAGGAATTCGATACAGCAGGGTTCACAAGAGTGAGGAAGCACTGTATTATAATAATATATATATATATATATATATATATATATATATATATATATATATATATATATATATATATATATATATATATATATATTCTCCACTCGATCATCCGGACTATATGGGAAGGACCCCCAGCCGGATTATCACATTTTTCGGATAATGGTACTTTTTCACCTACGAGTCCAAAAGTGACAATTTCCAACTACTTTTATACTACAAACAACATAATTTGAATTGCCTTGCCACATATAATTATTAAATATTCAACTAGAAACCTCAACTTACCTTGTTGGTGTTCGTCTTCTTGATTGATGCCACACATCTTGAAGTTAAGAATTCTTAACAATTTACGTAACCTATACTAACACAACACTAAAATTAACACTTAAAATTACTGTACAGTTCATTAAGCAAAGTTAGTTTTGACTGCCAGCTGCTGAAGCCTTACTGGTTGAAGGCATTTGGGTTGCCTGTGAGGCCTTGCTTGTTAAAGGCGCTTGCATGTGCCTCACTTGTTGAAGCGCTTGCATGCCCTCACTTGTTGAAGGCTCTTGGCTTGCCTGTGACGCCTCATTTGTTGAAGGCGCTTGGCTTGCGCCTCACTTGTTGAAGGCATTTGGCTTGCTTGTGACGCCTCACTTGTTGAAGGTGCTTGCTTGCTTGCGCATCACTTGTTAAAGGCTCTTGGCTTGCCTGTGGCGCCTCACTAGTTGAAGGCATTTCGCTGCCAGTGACGCCTCACTGGTTGAACAACACATAACTTGTCTTTAATTGCTAGGACAACCTTCTTCCTCTTAACACCTCCAGAATGATTGATGCTGCTACCAGACATAGTCTTGGCCAAAAATGTTCAAAGTTACTATGAAAATAAAAAAGTTATTTAAAAAAATATTTCACTAATGGCGCAGCACTGTGTATAACACGAGGGACGGACACACATGGGTTGACCAGTGTTGGACATGTCCACTTGGGGTGGGGCAGCTATAGCGCGTTACGTAGGCCGCCAGGAGACAAAAAACTCAAAATATTTTTGAAGGAAACTTCAGCCTGTGCACATTAATTTTAGGAAACTTATTTATTTGTTATTACATAATTACTAGTACTTATTTCATTTGTTTTTGGCTATGATTAAGTGTTCTAAAATTAATGGTAATTTCTGTACCTAGGTGGTCCCTTCCGACGCACCCCTCCCACCCTCCCGACACCACCCACCCACCCCACCCCTTCCTCCACCATGCGTCTAGAGCCACAGACGGGATTAATATGGTATGGCCGAATATTCATCCGGCCAAACTAGCTTTTATCCGGTTCCTGTGGCCATTTTGGCCGGATATTGTGATAACTTTATCCGATCACGATTTTGGCCGTATAAGGGCGTTTTCCGGATGTTTGAATCCCGGATAATCGCGGGGTTACAGTATATATATATATATATATATATATATATATATATATATATATATATATATATATATATATATATATATATATATATATATATATATATATATATATATATATATATATATATATATATATATATATATATATATATATATATATATATATATATATATATATATATATATATATATATATATATATATATATATATATATATATATATATATATATATATATATATATATATATATATATATATATATATATATATATATATATATATATATATATATATATATATATATATATATATATATATATATATATATATGCACACAGTGGCACCTCGACTTACGATTGCCCCTACTTACGATAATTTCGAATTACGATGTAAATTTCATCGAAAAATGCGACTCGACATCCGATGGTGTCGACTTACGATATTTGTTGGTACACGTTCGGGTCGACCGAGCGCGTGGTTCCCGGTCACGCGGCAGACCTGCCTCAGTTTACTACAGCTGCCCACTTAGTGACGATCGCGCCTATAAGAAATTCCGCTTTTGTGGTGATTTTTTTGCACTTTGAACATTAAAGTAATTATTATATATCACGCCATGAGTCCCAGGAAAGTCAGTGGTAAGACTCAACATATGAAAACCCATG